CCTATAAAACTCCACACCTCCATGGTGTAATACCTGCCCCTCATCCACTGCCAGTAACAGCCCCACCTTTCTTCTTTGAAATGCCTCTCTCAGGCATTTAAAGGTTCCTTTTCTCCTGCTCCCACATTCCCACAGCTCCCCGTAAAAAGGGAGTACAGGGAAGGAGAAGCACTGGCAAACCACTGGGACCTGGCTTCATTTTAGGAATTGATTTCCTGCCTTGGTGTCTACAGAAATTCCAGTCAGATCCTTTCTCTGGAGCCTGTTTTGCCATCTCCCCAGCACAGCTTTCCAAGAGGAGCAAGGGAAACAATTTGGAAAAGGATAATGAGCAGCAGTAATTAAACAACTGGGGTTAGTGGAAGGTGTCCCTGGCCATGGCAGGGGGTGGGACAGAATGGCTTGGACTGGGAGATGATTCTGTGATAAGAAATGAGGGTCCAAGCAGCTCTCCAAGCAGCTGGATATCCTTCAGTCATTCTCAGTCCTCGTGGATGTTGTGGAGAGATGAGATCCCAACAATCGCTGCAGATCCAGCTGAACACGGGGCTCTGCCCTTGGCTGCCTGCAGGGAGTGAAGTCCCAGGACGGTGCTGAGGCCCCTGAGGGGCTGCAGAACGTCCCTTTGTCCCCAGCACGTCCCTGGGAGTGTTTGCTGGGCTGTGTTTGTGGCTCAGAGGACACCAGACATCAGAATTATCCCATTACAGGCTGCTCCGTGGCTCGGCTCCGGTGCCGCATCTGGGATCTCCGTGGATGTTGGGTGACAGAGCAGGAGGGGAAAAAAGGGGCTGAGAGATGAGGAAAGGGCAAGATGTGGGCATGTGCTTGATGTCCTGCCTGGCTTTGGCAGACTCCAGGGAGCTTTGTGTCCCTGGATTGTGGGACCTGCACAGATCCAGCCCTGGGTCCAGTCTGTCCAGGACTGACAGCAGCACAATTCTGGGCCAGGGAGTGAATAAGGAATTGCTGGGAGCTGCAGAGCCTTGCAGCTGGGGTTTTTTGGTGTATTTTGAGGCTGGGTTGCTGCAGCAGAACCAGCCTCAGCCTTGTGGTGAGCCTCTGCTCTGAGCTGGGCAGAGCTGTTCAAATGAACCCAGCCTAAAGGTGATGGGACACAGGAATAAAAGCAGCTGCATCTTCCTGCAGAAGGGTTAGAAAAAGCCTTCCTGTTCACTGGAGGTAGGAGAATGTGGTTTTGATCCACCTTCAGTGAGTAATCACAGGCCAGAGAGGTGCTCTGGCTCCTCCAGGCTCTCACCTCTTCCGCTTGGCGTGAGCTCAACCCTTCCTGGCCTAAGTGAAACCATCTGTCCTTGCCTGGGCTTCACCCTCAGCATCCCCGAGCAGCACAGGGGGAGCTGACAACATTCCCAATTTCTGCATGAATTCATTGGCAGTTTCTGGCCAGCAATGATTTCCTTCACCAGCAGTGAAGAGCCTCCAGGGTGTCTCGAAGGGCCTCTGAGACAGAGTTCAGTAAAACCCTTGGCGGGTGCGATGGCAGAGGCTGCTTCCCCCTCGTTGTTGGAGTGTAATAATTCATTCTCCTTCCTCCTGTGGGCTTCAGCTCCCAAACCTGCTGATGCAAGAATTCCTCATCTTTTTTTTTCCTTTTTTTTTTTTTAGTGGCCAAGAATTTGATGAGATGAGAAGAAAAAAAATCCAACTGTGACCCTGCTGCCGAAGGGACATCACAGGAAGGAAGAATGATGTATTTTAATTAATTTCAGCAATTGAATCCCTTGGCTTGGAGGCGTGTGTGATGCAGAACAAGGCATGTGCAATTTGAGGTTAATATTTCCCTTTTCATTCAGAGGACAGAAGCTGACAGAGCTGGTGGATTTTCACCCAGCCTAAACAAATGGGAAATGGGCCAGGAGCCTGCAGAGAGAGGCTCAGGGGGCTCTGGGCCCACGTGCAGACCCCCCTTGGGTCTGGGAATGGTCTGGAGTTTGCTTCAGGCCTGGTTTGAAGTGCCCCAAGGTGGCCTCGGGTCCCACAGCCCTGGACAGAGCCAAGGCTGGAGCTCTGCTCCTTGCAGATCCCTGAGCTTTCCTGAGCCTTGACTCAGCCCACGCTCCCTGGGCCAGGCTTCATGGAGAGTGCAGAGCAGCATTTCAGCTGCTTTTCCACTTGCAAGCTGAAGCAGGCAATGAATTTCTCTCCAGAAACAGAAAACAAGGCAAACCACCCAACCAAATCACCCTGAGCACAGACCTAAGGCTGATTTGAGTTGCACATCGAAGGGGAACCCATCCAAACCTCAGTGCAGCCAGTGGAAAATCTCCCAGTGCCATCAGAGGGGCCTGCACAGAGCCCAGGGATGCAGTGAAACCCCAGGGAGCAGGGCAGGGACTCACGGCATGCTGAGAGCACAGATGGAAAACTGGGCACGTTTCTGGGAACAGTCTGCTCAGGAACGGGGGCAGAACTTTAACCACTTTTGGCAAGACTCACCTAAAACTTGCAAGGAGAGTTAAGAGGGAAGCTTTAATGTTGATTTAGTCTCCGTTAGAACTTCCCTGGCTTGTGCAGCTCCACTGATGTCCAGGGGATTTTGCTGGGATCCTCAGACAAGGAGCAGGAGCTTCCTCTTCTCCCATCAACTGTGCTGCAAGGGCTCAGCGCTGGGAGCTCCCAGCAGGACTGGTTTTACATCCCAAACCACCAAAAGCATCACTGTGCCATTCCAGGGGGGCATTCAGCACATGCTGAGGTTCCAATAACTCCAATTAAACCCAGGCTGAAGGGCTGTCCCTTGTGTGAAGCACAGCCTGAGCTGTGATTAAAACTCACAGATTTAATCACCTTTTGTGAGGAGACTGAACAAAACATCGTCCTAAACACCCAGGAGACCAGGGCTCAGTGGCACTCACCTCGCTGTCTTCTGCAGGAGGTGGGGGAGGCTCCTTGATGATCTGGAAGGATTAAAGAGAAAGAGAACCATGAATTCAGGCTTTGCTCTTTAGCACGACTCAAAGAGAACCATAAATTCAGGCTTTTTAGCACGACTCAGATGCCACCAGGAAGAATCCAAAGGAGAAAACAAGAGGATGTGCTGCTGGCACACCTCTGTGGAATCACGGGGTGGCTCTGAGGATGGGCAGGGGGTGTCCCAAAGCCCACGGAGACGTTCCTAAAGACAGCTCCACACTCACATTGCTCTTTGGGTGCCCCGTGTGAGGCAACAGAAAATTCACACTCTGATATCCCTGACTCTCCTAATCCCTGAAGCTGCCACAGTCAGTGGCTGGCTCTGAGCATTGATGCTTCTCCTGAACCACCTCAGGAAAATCAGCATCTCCTTCCCCTGCCCTCTGCACACTTGTACAAATCCTGCCTCAAATAATTCAGTCTGAACAAAGGCTGGGAAGCAAAAGGAAGGTGAAGCAAAATGCCCTGGGGACATTGCAGAGCAGTGATAACCCCCAACCTGTGTCCCAGACTGTTCTTTATTCATTCCAGAAGGCTCTGCCACCTCATACTCTTCTGTGCTTTTCATTTGTCAGGTTAATGTAGCTCACTGTCATAAACTTTAAACACATAAATATATATACACATATATGGCTGAGTGAGGTTTCTAATAAAGAACCAGGGTGAGGTTGCAGCCTGGCCCAGGATACTCTCCATGGAAACCATTTCAGTTTCTGTGGGTGTGAGGCCATTATTTCATGCAGAAAGTTTGCATCCAGGGCTTGGCAGGCTGCTGGCTGCTAGCAGAGCCCTGCATCCAAGAGCAACAGAGAGGTTTCCAAGGGGAGGGCAGAGCCACCAGGCACGTCCCACCCTGTCCCTCACCCCTGGCATGGGCTGGGAAATGCCCCAGGATGGGTTTGGGTCCATCTGGAGCAGGCAGAGCTCTCTGTGCACCCCAGGCCATGGGGCAGGGGCTGGCAGAGCACCAGTGCAGGTGACACTGAGTGTCCTGAGCTCTGCTCAGAGCTGGGGGGCAGAGGCTGACACACGTGTGGGCTTCAAAATCACCCTAAAAACACCCAAAAAAACCCCCAACAACAACAATCAAAAAAATCCCCCCAAAACAAAACAACAACAGAAACCACCCCCCAAAACACCAATCCCAAACAGCAACAACTTGGCTGTTTAAATGCAGAAAGGGAAAATTGCAATCACATTAAAGGCCCTGAAGATATAAATATTTACAGCAATTCCTCTCACTCGTGTTTTTCCTCCTGTGATGAGCTCACTGTTTTTATTTTCCTCTGCAAAGCCCGAGTCATGCAATGTGGCCATTAACGAGGAGCATGTGCCTCTGGCTGGGGAGGAGACAGGGCTGGAGCTCTTGTGTCCCATAGAAACAATAAAAAATATGAAAATGATGAAAAGTAGATGAGAAGTGGGTGATAGGTGCCCAGGGAGGTTTGGAGTCCCCATCCCTGGAGGTGGCATTCAGTGCCCTGGGTGACAAAGTGGGGACTGGCTGAACTTGGTGATCTCAAATGTCTTTTACAACCTAAGTAACTCTGGGATTCTGTGGAAAGTGGATGAAAAGTTGTCTGCATGCCAGTAGGAAAGGAAAGCCTGGATATCAGCATCCTCAGAGGTGTCAGATGGAGACAGCACCATCTCCTCCATGTCCCTTGACACGATCAGCACTGACAGAGGGTGCAACTCACCAAAAGACACAGGACACCTTCTCACATTAATCTTGTTCAGTCTGATGGGCAGCATTTGTCAACAGATCTCCTTTTGAACCAAATCCCTGAGCATTGAACCCATCAGGCACTGTGAAACTTCAGATATCTGATCCAAAATGTACCTGCTGGGACCTCCTAGTTCCCCCCTGGAGCATCCCCTGCTGCAGGGGAAGGAACATCACGGGTTCCAGGGGAGTTTCATTTACATTGGAATGAAACATCAGAATAAACCATCCGAATTTGGTCCAGCTAAGCATCCAAACTTCTCAGCCAGGATCACTGGAGGTTACACACCTGGAGGTGAGGAGATGGCTGTATTCCATACATCTGCATTCCTTCCCATATTCACACACAAACTGACTGACTGCTGTAAACAGATCAAGTGTTTTCTATCACAGGCAAAGAGGGGGAAAAAAAAGACATTCCTTCCATTTTTGAGTGCTTTGCACTTCTAAGAGCAACTGAGCTCCCAGTAAATTGGCAGCATGGATTGGTTAATTTGGACAAGTCTAGAGATGGGGGAGTTCAATCTCCAGTGCCTTTGAGCCTGTACGACCTTTCAAAGTTCAAGTCTTACAAAAAAAAAATCTCATTTCTGACTCGCTGCCCAGGCCTTCAAACAACACAAATCTTTTCCTTCTCCCTTTTGGATTCTTACTGCTACAGCTCTGTGTGCATGAAATCCTCACTCTGGGGCAGCCTAACCCTGAGACCCTCATTTGGGACACCCAGACTCATTTTGGGGACACTCAGACCCTCACTGGGGACACCCAGACCCTCATTTGGGACACCCAGACCCTCATTTTGGGCACCCAGACTCATTTTGGGGACACCCAGACCCTCATTTTAGGGACACCCAGACCGTTTCTCTGAGTGGTAGCCCAGGGCAAGGCCGAGGGCCCAGGCCCACAGGCCCCACGCACTTGGCACAACCAGAAACAACCCAAAAGATGGAAAAACGCCATCAAAAACGCCATCCCAGGGCCCTGTGAGGTCACACCCACACGGACACCTGGTTGTGGCCATCCAGGTGAGCCCCAGGAGCTGCTGAAGGAGCAGCTGGGAGCGGGCCAGGCCCAGCACGCGGCGAGCTCGGCCTGGCGAGGCCGCGGTGTTTGGTCACAAGCGTTTGGGTGACCCCAAACCCTCCCTGGGCTCCTCTCCCTGTGTTTGGGACAAGCAGAACACGATGCTTCAGCCTCGGTTTGCTCTCCAGGTGGGGAACACCTGAGGGGCTCCGCACAAAAACCTGGCGAGGCTCTTTTGTTCCTAAGGGTGAAGGTGGGGAGAGACGGCCCCTGGCTTTCCTTGGCAAAAGAAGGAGCTTGGAGAGCAGCTGTCAGCATTTCCACACACTCAGCTGTGAAAATTCGGGACAGTGAAGTAATTCTTTGCCTTTCAGCACCGTTCCCAACACGCCTGTGAAGGACAGGTCTCTGTTAGCTGAGCCACTTCGTGCCTCAGGCCCATGGAGGAGCAGCTGTTTCTGATGGATAACCCAGTGGAAAAGCAGAGGAATTCTATCAGCCACCTCCTGGAAGGTTAAAAACATTGGGAGGGATAAATTTTCTGTTGCCCTGAAATTTCTGTAGCCAGTCAGGCATAAGAAAGCACACGCTGAATCCAAATTTTGCATATTCCAGGAATGTGTCTAGGATGTTTTCTGTCTTGGGAGCCCAGAAATCTCCAGCAATCACACAGCAACTATCCTTGGAGTTTTCCATGATAAATAGGGGCAATATGTTTCTTGTCAGAGGAGCTATCTGCTTTAGGATGGGACAGATCATCATTTCAAATGAAGCAAACAGATCATCATTTCAAATGAAGCAAACAGTACAAAATAAGAAACAAAGGACTTTGCCTCTAATTGGGATTACAAGTTTGGAAGCATGCTGTTAACTGAGCAGATTATTTTTGTCCTTAATTACCTTCATTCTTCTGGAAAACACCGAATATATATTCTTGCTCTCTTAATAAACAAGGATTTTTCATAGCATTAACTATGATCCATCTGACTAATTTCCTATTTTTTTTCCCGTTACATATTTATAGTTTTGACCTCTCAGTCCTGTGACTGTTTCATATTTGAGGTATGAGCTGGGTAAAGGAACATTTCCTTTTTTTTTTTGTCATATCTTCTGTGTCTTCTCAGTATCCATTAAATCCTCGGGGATCTGCTCTACACCCCAAAGCTAACACGAGCAGGGGCTTGTCCCAATTTCTTTGCCTGCAATAAAATGCAATCTTCTTCTCAGGGATTCAAGTAAGAGGTAAAGGAAGTCCAATGGAAAGTTAACTCATCCTTTTAAGTTCACCTCTTTTGTCAGCCTGGGAGGAGATTCAGGAAGCTCAATTTTAACAGATTAAAAGTGCAAGAAAAGGCCTCTTCACCCCAAAGATTTGGAGGTGAACTGTACAAACCAACTTCAACACAGGATCATAGTAAATGTCAAAATCATCCACTTCAGAAAGACAGGACGTCATGGAGAGAAAAATCATTCTCTTAATTGTTTATATTTAATCATCTTAATTCATCCTGGTGCAGTCTGGGGCTGGCATGCAGCTCTGCAGGGAATGCAGGCAGCAATGCAGTGTCTGCACAGGTGGTTCCCCTTTCCTGAGCTGCTCCACTCACACAGATAAAGCAGCCCAGAAGCCCTGGGGTGTGCTCCAAGCATCTGACCCACTTTCTTGGCAAGACCACAGAGATGAAATCCCTTTTCTGGGCAAAGGAAAAGCATCGTGGCCACTTTGAGCTGTGCACAGGAGCCCTCACTCACAGATTTCTGCTGAATTTTCTGCTTACATGATCCTGTTCTCCCTTCTCAGCACAAGTGCAGAAGAGCTGTGCTCACGGGAGTGGGTGGGAATGGGATCTTGGTAAGGAATCTCCATCCTGCCATTTTATAGCTCTTCAGGGTTGTTCAGAGCCTATGCATTCCCTCCCCTTCTCTTCCACCAGTTCAGCCATGTGGTTTTAATCTATATTTTCTGCATTTTCTCCATCCAGCTCTTTGTTTCCAAAACTTCTGGTCAGCTGCAGTACAGACTGAGAGCCAAACAGATTGCTGGGTTCTTCCATGCTTACTTCCAGAAAACAGCTTTAAAGTTAAAACTGCTGTTAGGTGCTCATAGCAACACCTCATTTATCTGCCAGCCACACCCCTGCATCTAAAATCACTCCAGTATGAAAATGAGTGAGGTGGAGAAGATTTTCTAGTGGGCAAACAACCCAGCCCAGCCTCTCAGCCACCCTGGATGGCTGCAGAGGGGAGGCAGAGACTCAAACCTGGGAGGAGGTGATGGATGAGCAGCACCCCAGCGAGGGAGACCATCCCAGCACAGCCAGACCTTCCAGCTATTTCATTAATTCTGCCTTCACTCTGCATCCAAACCCTTGAAGCAGCTCCATTTCCAAGCCAATCTAACAAGGTGCCTGCTAAGTCCTCCTCAAGACACTTTTGGGGGTTTATTTCCTCTACATTAAACCTGAGGCTCATGTTGGCCTCAGATTTTTTTTTAATTGTTTACCCAGAACAATTTCAGGCCTGGGCAGCTGAGCATCCTCCTGCACACACAGCTCCTGCTGTGGATGTCTGGGATGGGAAGAGAAGCAGTGACTGGGGGAAGGTAGGAGCTGGAATGTGCTCAGCTCAGGAAAGGTGGGGTCACACCCCTTTGGAGGTGTCTGTGTCCTTGTTTTCCTTCTTGCCATCATTCTTGTTGTGAGTGCAGTGCTGGGGAGTTCACACAGCAGAATTGCTTCTTTGTTCTCTGCTATTCAATAAACCTACAGCCTTTGGAGAGGTTAGTGCCTGCCTCCCATGCTTTTGTAATATCCTCCACAGGTATCCAGGGAAATTTCTGCCTGTGCTGGTGTATCAGGCACAGCAAAGAGTTATTATTGCTCTGATTCACTAAGCAACAATTGCCTCTACTGTAAACCCAGTGGTAAATTCCAGACTTCATCCCAGAATACTTCTGAGACCAATAAAGCTGGATACATTTGGAAACAGCATTCCTTCATGGGCTCATGCCAAGGAGATACTGGGTTCCAGATAAACCTTCAGAGTGAGTCTGTTGACTCCAGTCCATTTACTCCAGGGATGAAGCTGGCTCAGTGTCTTTCCTGAAGAACTGCTGGATAGTAATGACTCTTATTTAATTAAAAAGCATGCCAAGAGGAATTTCAGGGTTTAGAAATGTGCTTGTCACTCAGAAACAAATTTATTCTTGGTGGGAGAAGAGTTTGTTGTGTTTTTTTTTCCTTTTTCCCCTGGACACATCCACAATTATCTCTGAGACGTCCCTGGGCTGGAATCCACGGCGATGTCTCCGGGTCTGTGGTTTGGTTATTCGAGGTTGGAGCTCTGGGCTGTTGTGCAAGGCAGCTCCTCTGCCCTTAATTCACTTCTGACAACACTGAATTCCTCCCTGTGCCACTTCCAGAGCAGCCACAAAGCTCTGCTGGGCTCCCTTTCCCCATCCCCTGACAGGCTGGGCTCCCCTCCATGGTTTTATCCTTAATTTCACAGAATTTTTGCAGTGCACAGTGAGGCTCTGCTGGGCTCCCTTTCCCCATCCCCTGACAGGCTGGGCTCCCCTCCACGGGTTTATCTTGAATTTCACAGAATTTTTGCAGTGCACAGTGAGGCATCCTGGCTGCTGATCCTCTGCCAAACACACCGGGTGCCCTTCTGGGGAGGTGGAAGAGATTTCATACTCCTATGAAATTTCAATGATTTTATTCCAAGATTTCATATTCATCTTGGAATAAAAATCTTTCCAACAGCTACAGGGAAGTGTTTGACTACACTGGAAAAATATCAGAGAGACAGTCCCCACTTGCAGACCTTGCTAGGAGGGAATGTGGGAGGTAAAGGAGGAGAGTGAGGAAAACTTTTATCTACAACAAATGTTTTTAAGTGGAGGATTTAAATCTGGAAATGATTAAGCTTATAAAGTTTCATGTGGAACAGAGACTCCCTCTCTCTGCTGCACCCACCTTGCTTATCTGGGCTGTTTTTCACACCCAGGGTTTTACACCACCACTGTCCTCACACGATTCCAGTGCCACAGTGCCCTCACAACAGCTCCACATCCCCTCCACGCCCTGCTGCTTGCATTTATTAATGCTTTTTTCTCATCAGCTTCATGTCCCTGCTCTCACAGAACCTGAAACCAGCAGCACCACTGACAGCATTTTCCCTTCATCCCCTCAATTCTCCTCCAGGTCCCAGTGCAAACATCTGCACAGGGCACATCTCCTCTGACTTCCATCGAGATGTGCCAACAAAAAGTTGGCCCAGCTCCTCTGGGGATGTGCCATCTAGTTTAGACAAATAACTCTGAGCAACCCACCACGCTGCTAATCCCTTGGCCAATTTTAGAACCAATTTTTTTCATTGTTCTGAAAGTCCAAATAAATATTTTTTTTCCATTCTGGTTTTCATTTTGGGACAGAGGTGCCAAACTACTGTGAAGAGAAGCATTTAATCCCCATTTTCAGCCAGGAACAGAAATAGACAATTAAGATTTTTCCTGCAAGATTTCCATCCTTGTTCTGGATAACGAGTCTGAGCACAGAGACTCATCCTGCAGCAAGTGGAGCTCCAAAGCTCTCTGCTCTGCACTGGGGATTTTTCTCTCTGCCCTTTTAAAGAATTAACTCTGCTGAACTTTTGTGAAAGGACCTGGAGGAAAGACGATGCTCAGTGAAGCACAGTCGGACTTCCACTGTCACTGGGATGTTCCAAACGCTTTTCAGACACGGTGATCCAGGAAACACAGCTCATCTTGTGAAAATTTGGACTCCTAGAAATGTCTTCTCCTTGTTTCTGAGGCAGAACCAGGACTGCAGCATGGGCTGATCAACCCTGCCCTTCTACAGGAGCCCTCCAGCGTTAGAAAATCCAGAACAGCCATGGCAGGAATACATTTCAGCAAACTATTTCCATTTTGTGACCAAAACACGAGACTAACAGGCTCCTGACGAGGTTTGGGTGTTGGCAACACTGCTGTTCCACGGGTCTAACCCAGATGAAACAGAAACCCAAAGCAGTGACAGAAATTCTGCTCCTTTCTGGGACGAGTCCCGTGGAAAACTCTGCCTCCTTCCCCCTCGTTTCTGCTCAGCACCGAAATTCTGCTCTGTGCTGCTGATTTCTGTCACTTACCACGGTGCAGCAGAGGGGCCAGAACCACCAGAGCAGAGCCAAGGCCAGCAGGAGGAAGAGGATGAGCAGGGCGATGGCCAGGATGGTCCCGTCGGACTGGAGGAGAACAGAGAGCGAGTGACACCCGTGTCACCCTCCCCAGCTCTGTCCCCAAGGCCCCTCTCTATTGACTGACACCTTAGTGATGGTTATTAATGCCATTTAATTTTCATTTTTCATTTCATTTTCAGGCAAAAACAAGCCTTCAGTGAAAGGTCATTGTTTTTTACCACCAGGCTAAAAAACCTCGCTTGATTTTCTGACTTTCTCCACATTTAAAGGTCAAATCAATTCACTGTTGATTAACACAAAGGTGAAAATTCCTTCATTCTTTCAAAGTGCCACAGGAGAGAGCGGGGACAGCCGGCTGTGCTGAGGCTGTGGAGTCCCCAGAGCCTCCCAGGGCTCCCAAACCTCTCAGCTGGCACTGGCAGAGCTCGGGGGCTGTTCCCACCCCAAACACCTCAGCCAACATCCCAAACCATTTATTGGGATTATTGGATCTGGTGACATCCCCTGCTCTCCCACCGGGAAGAGCTCTGCAGTTTTGGGTCTGAGAGCCACCAGAGCAAGAGGTCATGAGTGGTTTTTCCTCTTCTGGGAGCATTTTAGGGGATGAACAAAAGCTTATTTCAATTCCCATCCTGGCTTTGCTCCGAGATGCTCTTACTTGGCCCTGCCTTCCTGTCCCCAAACACGGCCTTGGCAATTCTCCCCTCCCTTGGACATTCCCTGGAGCCTGAGGCATCCACTGGAGGCTGAAGGGCTTGGGCACACCTGGCACA